TTTGAATTTTTACTTGCCACCGAACAGAAGCCTTCTTTATGACTCCACTGCTTACAGTCTCGGCGTATGTGCCTTCGGAAGTGGTAGTCTCGGACAAAATGTACTTGCCCACATAACCAGCATCGATATTTTGGAGTAAGCTGACCACTTCGAGGATATCTTTTCTCATTCAGATATCTTCGCGGAGTTCGACTCCGGCTCTCCTTCACCTCACCGAAGCTAGTATGCTTAGGTTGTTTCTTTATAACACTCACCATTTTGGCTGTCTGGTTCAGCTAACTTGGTATCCTCAACCAAACTTACAAGCCTTTTACACTCTTCAATCAATTCATGCAGAGTAGTGCTTGGTTCTTTCTCAATTTTGTTTAACAGCTTCAATCTTATCGTTGCATCATCTGGCGACTGCAGCCCGCACACATATACCAAGCATTTAAACTGATCATTTGTGAGCTCCCCGAGCTTAAATCTTTCGCACTCCAGATTTACTTTTCCGCCGTATGCCACGTAGTCATCATTTGCTCGTTTGTACAGTTTCAAACATTTGTAACGCGTGGCGAATAAAGAAGTTTGTGGACCAAACATGTCCGTCAAAATTTTCAAAGTTTCTGAAAACGTGACATCTCCAGGAATTCTTGGAAGCATATAGTTCACATGCTTGATGTATACTTGCGTGCTTAGTTTTCTTAACAGCAACCTTGTTTTCGCCCCATCCTCAAGTTTAACCGCGTTCTTCCCAAAAACATCTCGGTATCTTCTGTACCAAACGTCAAAAGTGACATCTTCACCTGAGGAATAAGCGAATTCAGTAATGCTGTTTTGTAGGATATCTATGGTTGGTTCCAATCTTCCGGTACTCTGCTCATCAGACAGAACAGTCGTTAATTTTTTCAAATAACTGTCTTATCAGTTCTTCTTGCTGTTTTCGCTGGGCGTCCAAAATTTGCTGGAGCGTATCAGCATCAACCATCCTGATCGCCACTGTTGTGTCCGTTGCGACACACGTCGAGTGCGATTTTTATTAGTCCAACAGAGAATATCAACATTGGTAGTTACGAAGCTCCGAGTCTATGATTCTTTGGTTGGTGCTGACCAAGGTACTACGGTCAACACGGTCCGTAAGGCCTTCAGACTCCACGTTCCTCGAGGCACTGTCGAAGCTGCTGCTGGGGGAGATGTCGATCCTTCTTGTGTCGGCTGCACAGTCCTGTCGATCGCCAACACACTGCCCTAAACTTCTCCAGTCGATCTACGCTCCAGATCCGGGTTGTGTGCTGGAACGTTCACGAAAGGGAAGAGCAAGATCACTTGCTCCCAACACATAGCTTTCTATCTAGCCTGACTCTCCAGTTAACACAGATTCCCGTAACCGTTTTCATGCCAAAACATCTTTCACGTGTTCACATGCGAGAACTAAGAAAACATGGACGTTTATTTTACTTATGAGAATCCATGCAGACGGTAGACTAGGTAACCATAATTTCAGCTTCGTCTTTTTTACGGTCTTTATGGACCTGGAAATCGAAATATGTGGACACACAAACACCTTCAGACGATCTTCCACAATATGCACATATGCAAAAAAGGCATAAAAAACAATGGTGGCCCGAACCTTTATAGTATCTTTCATTTGTGATGGAGTCTGCTTGCTCACTGGCACACGTTGGCGTGGCGAAACACGAAGAACCTCGATCGGGAAATAGGATGTGGCCATTTCTGTGACCAGGCGTACAGCAGGCCAGTCCGGACTGAAACAATGTACTAGAGTTGGCAAGTCATAAGTTGATAAGTAAAAAATCCTTTTATAGATCTTACACAACAGTCAGATTCATGGGCGCCGAACCCATTGTTTGTAATCGATCTCTAATTGCGAAAAAGCGCTAAGAAGGGTAAACATGATCGAACGGAACAGCAATTCAGCCAACAGTAATAACGTACCGGATTTGAACCCCTTGTTCCTGATAATAAGGTACCATCGGGACGACCGCATTCTTGCCAATTTTGAGCCTGAAACAAAGTGCTGTTAGGCCATGTGAACACGGCCATGCAGGTCTGTAGGCGTATGTGTGCCTAGGACACTCTGCACTATTTATATGAATTAAAGCGCGAGTACCTGATCTCTGCAGTTGGTTTGTCCGATAATCCAGAAGCCAAAAACGACCTTTTGGTGTAGTTTATGTGGTCCAGCCGAAGATCTGCAGTTACAGACAGTGATGGAAAGTGGAAAGGAAGAACAAAAAAGAATTCGTCAAAAAATGTGAATTTTCCATGATCCACAAAAATGAGAACATTGAACAGAGCAATTCTCTGCTCAGCACTAACAACTCAACAAATACAACGGATACCTCGAATGATATCGTTCAGCTTGTAGACGAACTCGTGGAAGAGATTCTGATCAAGCGGAGCAGTGGACAAATTGCGCCATTTTGTGCCAGAATTCATAAGAACGCTGTACACCATTTCTGCCAGTGGGACCGAGTCAAAGAAAGCGGCCTTCTTCACTGAAATCAAACTCATTTGTGCCAACATTGGAATTCGCAATAACGGACACTTTTTCAAAGCAGTGCTAAGAAGAAGACATACGGTCAATGACCAGTGCTGGGACGATGTCGCCCGTTGAACGCTCGACGAAGCGAATCCCTTTGTCGACGCCAGTGACCAGAGTCCTGCATTCGCTCAGTGGCTGGCCCTCAAGCTTGTACCTCGTACCGTCCACCAAAAACAGTTTGCCACATCCGAAAGCATAGTGTGTCCCTCTAAACA